AATTTGTAATTTTATCATTAGATGCTGAAAAAGCCTTTGACAAAATACATAAACTGTATTATGTACTAAATTTGCTGTACTAAATAGATTTGGATTTTCTTTGGAATTTATAAAATGGATTAAGATATTATATGAGTTGCCCATGTCTAAAGTAAAGGTCAATGGTATGTTTTCTCCTACTTTTCCACTATTTAGATGAACTAGACAAAGATGTCCATTTTCACCCTTGCTCACAATCTGTGTTGGCACATTATGCTGTCACAAATTAGCCCTCTACATTTCAACTTGGTATGTTCTACTAAGCTAGATTGTGATGGCTTATAAGTCAGCATGCTGCATAGGTTCAGAAAACAAGGATGAATAGACGACTTCTGATGAGTAACTATGCTAAACTGATATTCCTTTAGAATACAGGAACACATTGCAACTGAAAACAGCGCTCAAATGCAGGATTCAGGCTGCTGAAATCTCTCCAGAGCAAGGAGAGATCACAAGATTACCCATACGTTCTCCGTACAGCTGGTTTTTTTGTGAGCAGATGGCAGGAACTGTGTTTTTTTATGGTCAGCTTACAATTGGGTGGGAGTCTCAGGATTTCATCATGCTTATAGCCACTAATGTTGCTTATATGGACTTTAAGTTTGACCGAGGGCCATCACTTAATCACTTTGGATTTAGTTTTTTTCTTTGGCTGTTTTTTTTTTAAAGATTGAGAACCTTCAGACTGGCAAGTTTTATTGAAATCACTAGGTGAATCTCCTTCAATCCTTTAAAAGGTTTAACTACAAGTTTAAAGATTTATAACAAAAAATTTGGGGGGGAATATACAGCAAAAGGATTATTATAGTTGGCTTTAGAAAGTTTTAAACCGATTAAGGACTCAGATGAACTTGATTTAAGAATTGAAAGGATCCTTTATCTTGGGAAAATCTTATTGTTTGTACTTTGAAACTGATAAGACAACTTTGAAAGTTGGACACTAGAGAGCACCTGTCAGGTTCAGCCCAAAGAACTCCACGAGACAGTACAGATAGAGTTCTATAGCATTTATTAGCTTTCACCTACAAGACAGAAATCTCACCAGACTGTATCTAAATTCCCCAAGCCAGCAAGCAAACACTGCGAATTTCTTAGGGTGGTGCCAGTCTCATCCTCTTTACCTTCCCACGCTCTTTCTGGGGGCTAAGGAAATGCTTATCTCCCCAAGCGTTGCCTTCAGCAAACCATTCCATCACAGCACCAGATGGCTACCTTAAAAGAAATATTTGATGAATGGGTGCAGGAAGTCTTTGAGCTATTTAACTTTATAGTAGAATCAAAAGGTGTTAATGAAGAGGAACAAGTCCCATTGAATAAAACTGAAATTGACTTATAGGTGGATTTAAAAAATACAGCCTACAAGAAAGAGATGGAAATAATGGATTTACAAATGAAATTGGATGATTTAAACATTAAAAAAGATATACAAATAATAAATCAGAAGAGTAATTTTCTTATACTAGATTCACAAAAACTCCATTTGCTGGAGTTGCCACACTGGAATTACAAAAGGGCCCTGACAAAGATGACAAGAACTTTGAGAGAAGAGATACAAAGAATATGAGAAAGCAGATGTTAGAACTTTCTTCGGGGAATTTAAAGATCATTAGAAGAAAGAAGAAAGATTATAAAACTGGTTTATTTGATCAAGGTTAAAATAATGGGTTGCTATTTCTGGTGATGTTTAATGTTTTTTTTTAAATTGGGACCGGAAGATGATGGTTATTTTTGGTAACATTTATTTGTTTCTTGACTGGGAATGGACTTTGACTATTTGAAGAGAAAAAATAGGGGGGATCTGTTTGAATAGAAATGAAGATATAAATATAAAAGGAAGGATTCAAATTGGGTGTAATATAGTTTGTAATACTTGCATTATTTCTGACAACCCTTACTGGACCTTTGCTGATTAATACAGAGAGATGAGTGT